CATTTGCCTAATGACGATCTATTTCTTAAATGTTATCGGTGGGCCTCTTGGACTCTTGCTCGTGACGCTTTTGCATCCCGGGCCAGAGCCTTTCCCCACTGTTGCCATTTATAGATTTATATTTAGTTTTTGTCACAAGTTAGCCTGCTCTTTGTGTATTCTTACCTCCTTGCTCCAGTGCTGTTCCTGGTCCCTTTCACATGTGTGTCTGCTCACCTATGGGCGTTGTCTGCAGTTCTCTGGGTTTTATTTCCTTCCCTTCCATCACTTCCTGGCCCACTTCCTTGTTTGCCTGTCTATATAAGACATGCTCAGTCTAGGCCACTTTGCCTGAGCAACTTCCTAGTTGTCTGAGCTCCTGTGTGTTGCTATCTCCTGTATCCTGCATTGACTACTCGTGTACTGACCCCAGCTTCGTTCACTGACTATGCTTGTTTTCCGCCCGTCCTGACCTTGGCTAGTCTATCGGATTTCCGTTTGTCTCCTCCCATTGTACTCTGCTCCTGCGAGAGATCTCCTCATCCTCAGCTGGGCGTACCCGGGGGCCACAACCTGGTCCCATCTTGCTGCAAGTCCATCCCCTCAGAGGCTCTGGTGAAGAAGCAGGCTGGGGCTTAGACTCCGTGCCCTGGGGAAAAACTATGTCAGCCGACCTCGAAACCTACCCCCCTCCCTACTCCCCCCAACCCCGCCAAAAAAACAAAAAAAAAAAAACCCCTCTCAGCTGACCTCAAAATCCACCCCGACCTCACCACCCCCGCCTTACCTCAAAAAAAAAAAAAAAAACCCATGTTAGCCGACCTCACCACCCCCATCCCAAAAGAAAATCAATCTCAGCCGACCTCGAAATACGACGACCCCCCCCCCCCCCGACCTCACCACCCCCATCCCAAAAGAAAAAAAAAAAAAAAACACACAGCTATCTCAGCCGACCTCGAAACCCACCAGCTAGTTGACTATCTACAAGGGCTCACTACCACAGGTGCGGACAGCTTTATTATGTAGCTATTTTGGCTGTTGTCTTTACCACTTGTGTTTTTTTTTTTTTTGCATTAAAAAATAAAAACATGTTCTATTTTATCTAGTGTTTTCATGTTGTGCATTTCTATACTTTCATATGGTATGGTGCCTTGAAAAGCCCCAATAATTTTTCTTAAGGTTTTTGGTTTTTTTTTTCTGATTAAATAGGCGTGTGGCACCTATAAAACCACTACACAAGAGCAGGTGAGACTGAATGTCTCTCCAGCTCCCATCCTATTTTCTATCTGGCCAGTTGTATCTGTACGATTGAATGTCCAAAGCACCCCTGCATATCACATGTCAGGAGCCCCCACCCCCCTTATATCACAGCGTACCCCTTTACATTGCTGCCAGGAAGAAGCTGGGGTTAGAGCTGGGAAGCAGAAAGTACAGGGTCTGGAGGAGGACCAGTGGTGGGCTACAGTCAGCTGCCAGAGTCTGCTGAATGCTGGTCAGAGGAGGAGAGGAAGAAGTGCTGTGGCTGCACAGAGAGGTGCAGGATCTGTAGGAGTTCTGTCCCCCTCTCTGCTGCCCACTGCTGAGACACATGAGGGTGGAAACAAAGGGTGTGCCACAGCTGCAGGAGAATTGCAAGGGCCCCATGAAGTGGCCTGGCAGGCTGCAGTTGGCCCACGACCTTGTGTTTGACACATGTGCTACAGGTCTTTTCTGTCAAAAACGCATTTCTCTGCCCATTAGTGGTAATGTACACTGAGCCCTGTATGCACAGCGCAATGTACATTTATGGCAATTTGATGCGAATTCTGTGCACATGGGCAGGAGTGACAACATTGTGGCCTGACCAATCAAGCAGCCAAACAGATCGAACCCAGAAGGCAGGTCAAGATTTCTCCTTACAAATGAAGATTTGGAAAAAGTGGCCCTGCCAGGGAGTCTCTACTTATTCTGCTCCATGAAGGATGTTCTTCAAGTGATAAGATCATCATTTATGAAGTCATTTCCTTACCACTCCTCCATCTGTTTAACTCTATCTCCAGGTGCTGAATGATATTCTTGAGGGTTTTGTTTTTATCCTTCTCTTTTTCATATTTCTTCTTCCACTCCTCAGCAGTGAGCTCCAGATTGACCGATACGGTGTTCTTAATGGTCTTGGCTCTGCAATCAAATAAAAGTAAAACCAAGATGGATTCTGGAGACATCAAGGGTCTCAGCAAGGTCAAGAGCAAGATTGCTTACCGCTGGCCAAACATAAGGGTGGACTTTGTCTCAGCCTCATTGAAGATGGATGGAGAGCAGCAGATAATGATAGTTGTTCGACAGTTTCCACCGAGGGAGTCCTGGAGTATCCTGGTCATTTTGCTGTCCCTGTATGGGACATGGGATTTCTAAAAATAAATAAATAAAAAATTATATTATACTTATATATATACACACCTGCATACATACACACAATGCATAAAATCATTCCTTTTACTCCCAATTATAGATCAGGAATTCTGACTGTACTCTGACTTCACTAGCTGCATTCTTGCTGTAGGTCAATGGCTGGGGAAGCAAAAATAGACCAAAAAGGGTTTTTGAGAATGAGGACACCAATGGCATCCTTTGTTGATTTTTCAGGTCTGAGATTTACAACCACTTTAAAAGGAAAAATTACAAAAGCATATTCCTCTATAGTGTATGCTTGTCTCAATCTAGACCAGGCATCACTAGATGGTGGACCGTGGTCCGAATACGGACCGGGTGACAGTCCTGTCCGGACCGCGGCCACACCACTTAGCAGCCTGAGTGGACTTCTCTTCTCACGCCACTGCAGCGGTTTGAAAATCGGGAGGAATGGCAGGGTGGACTCCTATTCTGTATGCACTTGCCTGCCACCACTGTAGTTGCCGCTGTTGAAGTCACAGCAGGGAAGAGGGCGGGAGGAATGGAAGGAAGAACTCCTCCTGAATGTACCGGCTTGCTGCTGCCGCCACTGAACTCAGAGCAGGGAGGAGAGAAGGAGGCACTACAGGTCTACAGAGGGAGCGGGGGAGGGGAGACAACCTGTTATATTAGGGTCACTCCCCCTTTTGACAAGCGTTGGGCAGCTCACAAGCTCAGTGGAGATCTTCTGTGCCTCCTGCCCTCCTCCCTGCGGTTAGCGGCGGCGGTAAGTTGGTACATTCAGAAGAGGAGTCCTTCCTTCCATACCTCCTGCCCTCTTCCCTGCTGGGACTTCAACAGCAGTGGCGACGATGCCAGTGCCTGGGAGTACATGCAGAACAGAAGTCCACCCTGCCATTCCTCCCGCCCTCCACAATGTTGAGTTACGGTAGGGGGAAGGGGTTGTGATGTCAGAGGGGGGGGGATCTGTGATACTGGGGGGGCTGTGATGTGAGAAGGAGAGCTGTGATTGGGGGAACTGTGATGTTAGAGGGGGAGCTGTGATGTGAGAGGAGGGAGCTGTCATATGAAGGGTCTGTGATGTCAGCAGGTGGGAAACTGATGTGGGGGGTTGTGATTGCAAGGGGGACTGTAATGTCAAGGAGGGACTGTGATGTGAAGGGGGGCTGTGATGTAAGCGGGGCTATAGTTTTGGGGGGGGCTCTAACATGAAGGAGTTGTGATGTACAGGGGGCTGTGATGGGAAAGGGGGGACTGAGGACATTACTTAGGGGCTGAATTGTGAAAGACCTGAGCAATAGAAGAAAAATGAAGTTCAGACCTCTGCAGGAAGAAAAATGTTACCAACCTGACCTCCGTCAGAATTTTAATTCCGTATCCCTGATCTAGACTATCAAGTGTCATTTCTATTTGCTGCCTCCTGCCTCCTTCCTCTGCTACCAGCAGGAGTCTCTTCTGATGAGTGTTCCTGACACCAAGAGAAAAAAGGTGACAAGGGGAGGGACCTCCAGCAGATTGAAAGCCTCAGCTCTGTTCCTGTGAGCTGAGTGAATGGGGTGTGTCCTTTCCCTCCAATCAGCTCTCAGAGTTCTCCTCACTGATGCAACTTCAGCTTCCCACCCCCTGCTTTTCATAGATGAGAGATCCTTAGTAGATCCTGCACTTTGAAAGGATGCAGGGGACAGATGGCTGTAGATAAACCGGTACAACTTATGTAGGAGGATTGGTTTCATCTCTGAGTCACCTGAGATCAGTCACCTCACTGGGTATATGGTGTTTTAACCACTTTAAGGGTCATTCTGGGATGGAAAATAAAAGGGGTCCATTTATAAAAATATCAGGAAATCTTGTGAATGTGTGTGAAATGCCAGTTTCCATTCATGGGGTGAGCATAAAGTTCAATTCTAAGAGAAACTAGCCTTAAGAACCTTTAACCAGAAGAGTTGAACATTCTACCAATAGAGAAAATAAAGACATTCACAAAGTTAATTTTTTATAGACCCCCAAAGAGTAATGCTAGGTACACATGGACTGAAAATCAGCTGGTTCAATAGTATGTATGGCCAGATTAAGGCCCTGTTCTCACAGGCATCGAACGCCTGTAATATGGACATCACACAGTGCTGGTCACAGTGTTATCATTGAAGTGAATTGTTAGCGTTGCATTGCTTCACTTCAAAATTGAAGCTTCATGTTGAGCTTGAAGGAGCGGAAGCATTTCAACTCCTTCCATTTAAGTCTATGGTAACGTGCTGGAAAAGCAAAAAAATAAATAAATAAATAAAAATAAAAAAAAGGCATTTGTACTGCAGTTCAAACGTGCCAAAAACCACGCATAAGGCATTTGGGAGTCAAATTCAAGTCAAACGCATCCTATTAATGCTACATCTGCGTTTAAGAGTCAGCATATCGAGTGAAGCAGCCCGAAGGCTGGAGCTCAAATATAAATCAAACCCAAACTTTCTCCTTAACCACTTGCCGTCCACCTGCTGTTTATAAACGTCAGGACGGTGGAACTCCAGGGGCGGGTTGCCGCTCATAAACGGCACCCGCCATTTCTAGCTGTGCACGCAGCATTGCGATACGGTGCCCGCTGTGTCCTTCGGACACAGTGAAACACCGATCATCGGACGGGACCTATGTACGAGGTCCCGATCATGTGATCACTGATAGGCCAATCAGTGATCACATGCAAAGTAGTAAGCAAGATGTCACTTGTGACATCATTGCTTACTACTTGTGAAATCTGTGAATGATCACAGAGGTCACATGGTACAAGGCTATTCACAACAGCCTTGTACCATGTGACAAGCTGTGACCAATCACAGCTCACTCAGTATTTCTCAATGGCTGCAAGAATGCAGACAGAGAGAAAGAGAAATGATTGCTTTACATCCTATATGGGTGTAAAAGCAATCACTGTAAAAAAAAAAAAAAAAAATCTTCATCACCCACCACAAGTAGTACAGTGTCACCATGGTGACACTGTACTGCTAGGGTGACAGTATGTATAAAAAAAAAAAAAAAAAAAAAAAGTTTAAAAATTAAAATTTTTGGTTATAAACTAATTTGGCTTTTTTTTTTTTACTAAAAAGATAACTGAATACATTTTGGCCAAGATTTATGATGAAAGATTATTTATTTGCAAAATTTTATAAGAAAAAAACACTTTTTTCCCAAATTTTTGGACTTTCATTTACATAGCAAAAAAAATAAAAATCCCAGCGGTGAATAAATACCACCAAAATAAAGCTTTATCTGTCTCAAAAAATGGTAAAAAATTCATATGGGTACAGTGTTGTATGACCGCACAATTGTCATTAAAAGTGTGATAGCACTGAAAGCTGAAAATTGCCCTGGACAGGAAGGGGGTAAAAGTGTCCAGACAGGAAGTGGTTAAACTCCATTAGTTCCATCTAAAGCTCAACATACATGTTACAATAAGATTGTACAATTTGCTTTAGACCTACCAAAACTTGTAATATAGAATGTACGTGAACTACCCAATCAGTTTTACAACCAGGCAGGCCCTTGCACTACATACTTCTTGTACAATCTCCTTTAGGTCTACCAATAAGATTGTACCATGTGTGTCGAGCTTAAAAACAGGTATAAAAGGATTACCAATTCAGAGAAAGAAATCATCAGAAATCATCCAATACCAGCACAGAAATCATGACCATTACTACAACCAGATCTGAACGGCTGGTGATTGAATATGAGAAAGACTTTCACTGGGATCTTCTGGAGAGATTTATCACACCAATAACTAGGCGGCAGTTTCGGGTTACTCACCGTTCCCTCAGCCAAGGCTGAGATTACATTGCCCAAGGCTGATAAAGACTTATTGATGTTTTTTGCTTCATCCAGAACTGCTCCCTCAGCTCCAGTTTTGCTGACCTGATGGAAACATGAAAGAATCAGCAGAAATGTACAGACACAGGTCATCAATGGTGATCAGTTTTAAACACACACACAAGGGACCCCCCTCCAAATCATTGGATTCAGGTGTTCCAATCACCTCCATTGCATGCCTAGGTGATGATTTTATACACCTGTTGCCGACTGCTTCTACAAACATTTGTGAAAGAATGGGTCGCTCTCAGGAGCTCAGTGATTTCAAGTGTGGTACCGTGATAGGTTGTCCTCTGTGCAATAAGTCCATCCATGAAATTTCGTTGCTACTAAATATTCCACGGTCAACTGTTAGTGGTATTATAACAAAGTGGAAGCAACTGGGAACAACAGAAACTCAGCTACGAAGTGGCAGGCCACGTAAAATGACCGAGCGGGGTCAGCGCATGCTGAAGTGCACAGTGCGCTGAGAAGTCGCCAACTGTCTGCAGAGTCAATAGCTAAAGACCTCCAAACTTCATGTGGTCTTCAGATTAGCACAGCAACAGTGCGTAGAGAGCTTTCTGGAATGGGTTTCCATGGCCGAGCAGCTGCATCCAAGCCTTACATCACCAAGTGCAATACAAAGCGACGGGTGCAGTGGTGTAAAGCATGCCGCCACTGGACTCTAGAGCAGTGGAGACGTGTTCTCTGGATTGACCAATAACATTTCTCTGTCTGGCAATCTGATGGACATGTCTGGATTTGGCGGTTTCCAGGAGAACTGTACTTGCCTGACTGCATTGTGCCAAGTGTTAAGTTTGGTGGAGGGGGGATTATGGTGTGTGGGTTGTTTTTTTAGGGGTTGGGTTTGGCCCCCTAGTTCCAGCAAAGGGAACTCTTAAGGCGTCAGCATACCAAGACATTTCGGACAATTTCATGCTCCCAACTTTGTGGGAAGAGTTGTGGGAACAGTTTGGGGATGACCCCTTCCTGTTCCAACATGACTGCGCACCAGTGCACAAAGCAAGGTCCATAAAGACATGGATGAGCGAGTTTGTGGTGGAGGAACTGGACTGGCCTGCACAGAGTCCTGACCTCAACCCGATAGAACACCTTTGGGATGAATTAGAGTGGAGACTACAAGCCAGGCCTTCTCATCCGACATCAGTGCCTGACCTCACAAATGCTCTTCTGGAAGAATGGTCAAACATTTCCATAGACACTCCTAAACCTTGTGAACAGCCTTCCCAGAAGAGTTGAAGCTGTTATAGCTGCAAAGGGCGGGGCCAACTCAATATTGAACTCTTCGGACTAAGACTGGGATGCCAATAAAGTTCATGTGTGCGTAAAGGCCAGTGTCCTATTACTTCTGGCAATATAGTGAGTGTGTGTGTGTGTGTGTGTGTGTGTGTGTGTGTGTGTATCCTGCTTCTTATCTTGTTTGTTTTTTTTTCGCCACTATGGACAAAAACAGTCAATTTGAACCAATTAACTATTAAAAAATCAAGTGAACATTTTGAGAAAGAAAAAAAAAAAAACTGGACGCAAGGCCAGCTTAGAAATAGTACAAGTAAATCCAAGAAAAAAAATGGATATATTGCAGGCCTTAGAAGTGGTGGCTGCATTAGTTTTCTTTTATTCTAACCTAGTGATCCAGCCATTAACATTTCCTGTCCTAGGGTGACCACCACTGTGCTGCATCTATGGAGCAGCAGGCTTTTCCTCCTAGGACAGGACTACAGAACCCATCCCTTTTCCTGTTCTCTATAACAAATGTATAGGGGTATTATTCTGTAGTATACAAACAAATAAAGCAAAACATACAGTACATGTAGTGGATTCTCCAGTAGGGGATGGGAGAACAAAGCTCAGAAATGAATTTTGTGAAAGGAGTACAATACAATACAATACCCAATCAAACCCTAACAAGTAGAATTTCCAAAGCAGAGCAAACAAATGTTCTCACCTTTTCACTTCCTGCCAGATCTACAAGGTACAATTTCCCACAAAGCTTCTTTTCAGTCTCAATATTCTCTTGTTTTATATTGATTAAAAAAATACTGTGACTTCTGGAACTGTGTTCATTCATGTCTGCATAGAACAGCAAAATGGATTCATATTAGATGGAGACAAAACCCAAAAAAGATGAATAAAAAGTCATTTTAGTGTTCAGCTATAATGTAAAATTAAAAATGGCTACAGATGGTTCAAGTCTCGGCCAATTGAGCAGGGGCAAGCCGAGATTCAAACACCTATGGGCAAGGCTGATTGACTTGGGTACAATCCATCAAACAACCTGGGTACAATCAGCACATCCGATATTTACATGCGATTATTGCCAGCGACTATAGCTACTAGCAGGAATCACTGTGTCTTGTCGGGAGGGACGGCTCTCCGCACCCCCCCCCCCCCCATACTGGCAGAACACATTAGCACTGCGGGAAGGATTCTGCCATCAAACACTGGCTGTGGTTGCAGGAAAGAAAATCGCATCATCTATGGCCGGCTTTGTACTGATGTAAATAATTTTTATTAATGTTTTTAAAGCATTTATATATAATTTGTGACTGTGAATACAGAAGGGGAGCTGAATTTGCTCAGTACACATACAGTGTGCTTCCTGCTTTACAAAGCAAGCCTCAGTCAGCCAACCGATTGAAAACAATGCACTCCCTGTGTGGCTCCTCTCTTATCTCAACCGTTGTTAAGCAGGAACTGAGTGCAGCAATATCATTTTATTTATTTATTTTTATTTATTTATTTCAGGTACTTATATAGCACCGTCAATTTACACAGCACTTTACATATATATATTGCACATTCACATCAGTCCCTAACCCTCAAGGGGCGTACAATCTAAGGTCCCCAACTCACATTCATACATATACATATTGGGGCCAGTTTAGACAGGAGTCAATCAACCTACCAGCATGCCTTTGGAGTATGGGAGGAAACCGGAGCATCCGGAGGAAACCCACAAAAGGCACAGGGAGAACATGCAAACTCCAGGCAGGTGGTGCCGTGGTTGGGATTTGAACCAACAACCCTAATACTGCCAGACGGAAGTGCTAACCATTTAGCCACTGTGCTGCCTGATCTTTGGATTTAATATGGATTACTCAAATAGGGAGGCATGCAAAAGTCCCATCAAATTTACTTTCAAAACAAACCTGTAAGATGAGATAAATGTAGTTATCAGCAGCTGGATGATAATGCAAGTACCTTTCACATTATGGTACAACCAAAAATACGGGGTGAAGCTCTGCTGACTGCTATCATCCAATTGTGTGCAAACAAAAATGTGGGGGGGTTTTTAATTTTTTTTTTTTTTTTTTAGGTACTTATACAGCACTATCAATTTACACACACACACACATATATATATATATATTATATGTGTGTGTAATATTATATATATATATATATATATATATATATATATATATATATATAGTGAAGGAAATAAGTATTTGATCCCCTGCTGATTTTGAATGTTTGCCCACTCACAAAGAAATGATCAGTCTAAAAATCGAATGGTAGCTGTATTGTAACACAGAGACAGAGTAGAAACAAAATATTCAAAAGAAATGCATGTCTAACAAATGATGTACTGATTTACATGTTAATGAGGGAAATAAGTATTTGATCCCCTTCACAAAACATGACTTAGTACTTGATGGCAAATCCCTTGTTGGCAATCACAGAGCTCAGACGTTTCCTGTAGTTGGCCACCAGGTTTGCACACGTCTCAGGAGGGATTTTGGGCCCACTCCTCTTGGCAGATCCTCTCCAAGTCATTAAGGTTTGGTGGCTGACAATTGGCAACTCAAACTTTCAGCTCCCCCCACAGATTTTCAATCGGATTAAGGTCTGGAGACTGGCTAGGCCACTCTAGGACCTTAATGTGCTTCTTCTTGAGCCACTCCTTTGTTGCCTTGGCCGTGTGTTTTGGGTTATTGTTATGCTGGAACACCCATCCACGACCCATTTTCAATGCCCTAGCTGAGGGAAGAAGGTTCTCACCCAAGATTTGACAGTACATTGCCCTGTCTATTGTCCCCTTTGATGCGGTGCAGTTGTCCTGTCCCCTTAGCAGAAAAACACCCCCAAAGCAGAATGTTTCCACCACCATGTTTGACAGTTGGGATGGTGTTCTTGGGGTCAGAGGCAGCATTCCTCCTCCAAACATGGCAAGTTGAGTTGATGCCAAACAGCTAGATTTTGGTCTCATCTGACCATAACACTTTCAACCTGTCCTCCTCTGCATCATTCAGATGTTCAGTGGCAAACTTCAGACTGGCCTGGACATGTGCTTTCTTGAGCAGAGGGACCTTGTGGGCACTGCAGGATTTCAGTCCTTGTCGGCGTAGTGTGTTACCACTTCTTTTCTTGGTGACTGTGGTCCCAGCTGCCTGGAGATCATTGATAAGATCCTCACGTGCATTTTGGTGATAGTTTGGTAGCCCAGTCTAGCCTTGTGTAGGTCTACAATCTTGTCCCTGACATCCTTGGACAGTTCCTTGGTCTTTGCCATGGTGGAGAGTTTGGAGTCTGATTGTTTGATTGCTCCTGTGGACAGGTGTCTTTTATACAGGTAACAAAATGAGATTAGCAGCACTCCCTTTAAGAGACGGCTTCTAATCTCAGCTTGTTACCTGTATGAAAGACACCTGATAGCCAGAAATCCTGCTGAATGATGGGGGATCAAATACTTATTTCCCTCATGAACATGCAAATCCATGCATAATTTGTTAGACATGAATTTCTTTTGACTGTTTCTAATCTGTCTCTCAGTGCTACAATACATCTACCATTCTATTTTTAGACTGATCATTTCTTTGTGAGTGGGCATTCAAAATCAGCAGGGGATCAAATACTTATTTCCTTCACTGTACACACACACATATATTATACATTCACATCAGTCCCTGACCCTCAAGGGGTGTACAGTCTAAGTTCCCTAACTCACATTCATACACATACTAGGGCCAATTTAGACAGGATCAAATTAACCTACCAGCATGTCTTTGGAGTGTGGAAGGAAACCAGAGTACCTGGAGGAAACCCACACAGGCACAGGGAGAACATGCAAACTCCAGGCAGGTGGTGCGATGGTTGCGATTCAAACCAACGACCCTAGTACTGCCAGATTGAAGTGCTAACCATTTAGCCACTGTGCTGCCCCATTATTATTTTCCTTGCACATGATTGGATATTAAAGTGAATTTTTTCACCACATTCTCTAGGTTGGGAAGATTCCTTGCAAAGTGAACAGCTTCATCTTGTCTTCCTGTTGGCCACACACCTTTAATGCAGCCTGCAAAATCTAAGATCCTCTATCTGCAATTAACAGTAAAATCTAAGGGCTGGCTCATCGGTGAGGGGCGTTGCATTTTATATGTGATTTAGGCACACTGCCATTGAACTCAATAGAATGCATGTTTTGATGAAAAAAAAAAAAAAAAAAAAAAAGCGTCAAAAAAAGGTGTGGCACGCAGGACTTTAAAACGCACCTCACCTAAAACACAAAAAATACTCAGGTGTAAATGAGACCCAACAGGGTCCTCCATCTATGCTTAACATTGTCTTCAAAATCTTAGATTCATCCATTCCTGCTTCACAGCGCACATTGATCAATCGTCTGCTAAGGCTGTTGTATGCCAAACAGCCGGAGACACCAGTTGTCAAAATGCCCAAACAGTGCTAGAATCTGATTGGATGCAGGCGCTGTTCAGCTGACAATTTTCTGCCCTGTTTTCTCCAGGAGGCGGCAGACAGGACTACCCACAGACAGTGAATCCTGGCCAATTCATCAGGCACCAGGCAAAATTTGCTCTGAGTATGACCAGCTTCAAGCGACACTTTGTAGCCAAGAGAGAAAAGCAGGACAGGGCAGGCCACAGCACAACCATGCAAAATTCAGTGGCTGATGCTGTAGCAGAGCACCCCAGGACTATTGGGGTACCAAGATGCTGTGGAAATAAAAAGTGTGCGCATACTGCAAGGGGTGCTGACATCCTCCTCCTGGTGCCATATTACTACACACACACAAAGCCTACAGGTACAAGAAATAAAAAGAATTCTCAGATGGGAGCCCCATAAACACCATGCTGCCCTTTGTGTGTGATCTAAAACATGAGGATGATCTTCATGGTATATTGCTTGTTGCAGACCTGCCTTCTGCTTGAGGTTTGCAGCAGTGAGCCTCTTTAGGGATGATTCAGCCATATATCTACACATAAATGTTGGGTTGTGGTATTTCTGAGTACACCACTAGGACTGACAAGAGTGATTACACAAAGCGGCCCAAGGTGAGATGTTACTGGAATGTCATGTCTCAGTATCTTCAGGCCAGAAGCAGGTAAGCATCTGCAATAAATTTACTACAATCCTTGCAATGTATAAAACAGATCTGGAAGGCTTTTTTTTACCTTTAAAGTGTTACTAAACCCACAACAGTAAAATCAGTCTGTATATGCAGTAAAGCATGCTTGTTATACTCACTGTGGAACCTAAGGGGTTAATCCCCTGCATTGTGTAAAAAGGATATTTGATCCAGTCTTCTCTGATCCTCTCTTCTTCCACAGTCCCCAATCTGTCTGCTAATAGATCGGAGCCCTGGGCGCAAGCTGCACATGCTTAGTTTGGTGTGTATTGCTAGAGTTTTTTTTTTTCCCTTGGGAGGGTTCATGTGATCACCGCAGGGCCAATCAGCACTGTCCAGACAGAGGGTCAGGGGTTATGCAGCCTCATAGGACAGTCAGGGGGAGAGTGAAAACTCCTCCTACAAGCTTTAACCAGTGCTCAACTGGACACTGATAGAAGTCACAAGACTGCTATATACTGCTGATGAGAAAAGGTATTTAGAAGTTTATATTTACTAAAATAATTACATTTCCATGTTCTGTGTACTGCGGGAGACCAGATATAGTGAAGGCAGGGCCCGGGGGAGACCAGATATAGTGAAGGCAGGGCCCGGGGAGACCAGATATAGTGAAGGCAGGGCCCGGGGAGACCAGATATAGTGAAGGCAGGGCCCGGGGAGACCGGTGAGCAGGGCCCGGGGAGATATAGTGAAGGCAGGGCCCGGGAGACCAGATATAGTGAAGGCAGGGCCCGGGGAGACCAGATATAGTGAAGGCAGGGCCCGGGGAGACCAGATATAGTGAAGGCAGGGCCCGGGGAGACCAGATATAGTGAAGGCAGGGCCCGGGAGACCAGATATAGTGAAGGCAGGGCCCGGGGAGACCAGATATAGTGAAGGCAGGGCCCGGGGAGGATATAGTGAAGGAGACCAGATATAGTGAAGGCAGGGCCCGGGGAGACCAGATATAGTGAAGGCAGGGCCCGGGGAGACCAGATATAGTGAAGGCAGGGCCCGGGGAGACCAGATATAGTGAAGGCAGTGATAAGGCAGGGCCCGGGGAGACCAGATATAGTGAAGGCAGGGCCCGGGGAGACCAGATATAGTGAAGGCAGGGCCCGGGGAGACCAGATATAGTGAAGGCCCGGGGAGACCAGATATAGTGAAGGCAGGGCCCGGGGAGACCAGATATAGTGAAGGCAGGGCCCGGGGAGACCAGATATAGTGAAGGCAGGGCCCGGGGAGGATATAGCCCGGGGAGACCAGATATAGTGAAGGCAGGGCCCGGGGAGACCAGATATAGTGAAGGCAGGGCCCGGGGAGACCAGATATAGTGAAGGCAGGGCCCGTGGAGACCAGATATAGTGAAGGCAGGGCCCGGGGAGACCAGATATAGTGAAGGCAGGGCCCGGGGAGACCAGATATAGTGAAGGCAGGGCCCTGGGGAGACCAGATATAGTGAAGGCAGGGTCTGGGGAGACCAGATATAGTGAATGCAGGGTCCTGGGTTTAGTAGCACTTTAAAGATTAGCCTTTTTTTTTTCTTACTATACATACCAGGTGAACCTTTTTATGGTGTCTTACTTGTAACAGCAACGTGTCTGTTTGCCTTTCCGTCATCGATAACATCCATCACCTCTTCAGGGCTGGATACAAACCTCTCCGTACAGCCCTAAAATATGCAGAACACATGTAAAAATATAAAACAAACAATCTGATCAATTTTCCAATTAGAACAGAATTAGAATTTTCCAATTAAGAGCGAATATCTTCTAAACTGAAGGACATTCATAATTGTTGTGGTGGCAGATGGAACTTGTAGCTTATTCAATCAGATGGACTTGTAGTGCAAAGTCAGTAATCAGCACACTTGCCACCTCCTCCAGCGCCTCGGTACATTGCATCATTGTGGTACAATACTTTGCTGGCTCATGAAAAAAAAAAATGATTGCACTTTTCTTTGCAGTGATTCACACGTGTGCACTATGGTGTGCTAAGACACAGGTTCAACGTGGTGCATTGAAGTACTATGCAAAATGAATGACCCCACAATGCACTGTGGTTCAAACATTCCCAGGGTGTGGACATTTTTGAAAAAAAACTACTTGTCCAGGGACTAAATCTGAGTTCCAATCTACTTGTCCTGCATGACAATCTCTTGTCCGGATAAAAAAAATGCAATAAAATTTTTTAACCAAAACCATATTTAAGTCTGAGGTGCATATAAGAAGGTCTGGGGCTTTATGGCGACTCAAACATTTAATTTTTTTTTTTTTTTTTTTAACATTGCACTGTTTATCTCCTCCCCTCCCTGCCGGTCTCCAGCACCGCACCCGGGGACTAGCAGGGAGGAGAGAGACCTTGCAATGTAATAAGCACCGATTGGCTGCTCCTCAGGAAAGGGGAGTGTCGGGCTTAAACTTTATCCCTTTCGCTGCCAGAGCCGTTTTTGCATTTTTTGCACATATTTAAAAAATAAATTTAAGGCCCGATTACACAAAACCCTCAAACATATATTTTATGAAAGCAAAGACCCTAGAGAATAAAATAGTGGTAATTCCAATTTTTCATGTCGCATATTACCGCAAAGGTCTAGGAAATGCGAAATTTCCATATAAAAAAAAATACTTAATTTCAGGGCACAAAGAAAAGCCATAAAATTACCCTATTTTTTTTTTGGTAAAATATAAAAATGAGTTTACACCGAGTAAATAGATATCCAACATGTCAAACCATAAATTTGTGTGCACTCGTGAAATGGCAAAGAACTTCAGCACCCCATATTTTCTATAGGCGACACTTTTAAAGCCCTTATAGGTCATCAGTATATAGTGTTACGGAGGTGGTTTGGTGCTAGAATTATTGCTCTCATTCTGGTGTGCGCGGCGATATGTAATGTGTATCGCAATCGACGTTTTCATGGGTAGGTACCCCAGCGCATACTTTTACGTTTGTATGTGTGTATATGTGGGGGTGGGGGGTCCTCAATTTTTTTTTTTTTGTTTGAGGGGGATGTTCTATGCTTGGGTGTAACTTTTGTATGATTAAAAAACATTTTTTTTTTGGTTTAACTTTTTTTCTTTTTATCACAAAAAGTCCCTTATGTGATGATTTTTGGTTACAGGTTGTCTTTGTTGAGACATCCAGGGTCTAAAAGACCCTGCATGTTTCCCCTGAATGTAATGCAGTGTACATCACACTGCATTACATTCTTTCCTGGCCTCAATGGTCGTGAAATCTGTGAAGGTTATGATGTCACGTCCAGTCAGGACAAGGGGAGGGGTCGCCGATGCACGCTGAACCAGTCTCAGGGCCCACAGATGGGCAAGCGGAGCCCGGGAGACATAGCGGGTGGAGGTGTTCGCACGGGTGGGGGCAAAGGCTGGCACCGTAGTGGGCTGTGTGAAAGCAATCGGGCAGCCGCCTGAATGCTTTCACCTGCTTGTCCGCAACAGGGATAAAGGTTGAAATAAACTACCTGCCCGGCGCCCAGATCTACATGTCCCAGGCATCAGGCGATACAAATCCAACATCCCTGATCCCGCTAACAGGTGTTACTGCAATGCAAAGGGGTGAGGCCTATAATCTAAGCATAATGGTCAGCCGGTGTGCATGCTGGGAAATCAACCCCAGATATTTCCCCCCCAATAAAGTCCCAGAGAGATATACTGTGAGGCGGTTTAACTAGGCAGCATCTTCTGAAGAACTTTAGTTTTGGGTGCACTTGCCCTATAAATGAAAATACAGATCTATAATGGCTTTACAGTGGAACTAAACCCTCCAATACTTCCTCCCCTCCACTGATTAGATATCCACAAGCTCCCTCACCCCGTCTTTGGCCATCTTGATTGGCCAGGCCAGGATGATGCAACTCCTACGAGTGTGCATGGAGGTTCATACATCCCAGCACTAAGGTGTGCCAAGAGATCACACTCAGCTCTGCATATGGCGCTCTGTGTACGTTCTAAAGCATATTGCAGACAGGAAGGTAATATAGCAGAAGAGGAATAGTTGGCCTCTTCTGCAATAGAAATCCTTCCTGCTCACAATTTTTTAAATTCAGGGTTCATTCTGCTTTAAGGATGCAAAGAAAGTACACAAGAAGGGGGGAAAAGGGCTTTAAATGTTTAATGCGGTCACCAGCAAATTCCAATGCATTTCCTTTTAATGGCTCAGTTATAAAGTGCAAGAGATTTTCTTTAAAAAAAAAAAAAAAAAAAAAAAAAAAAAAAAAAAAAAAAAAAACAACACATACAAAATTAAAATTAAGAGAATAAATTTTATGTAACTATATCTCAACAGACATACCGTACCTTCACATAGGGAACTCGATTTTTATCTTCATGTACCGCCAAGTTTGTTTTGGAGACTGCAGAGAAAAAGACATGGAGAAATGTGATGAAAAACTTCAATGCTGCAGAAAATTCAGATACTAAATCCTTTTAAAATATATATATATGAGTTTTTTTTTGTTTGTTTTTTTCTACACACTTTTTTTCTTGAAGCAATCACATAATCTCTGTTCTCAGCTGCATAAGGGGCTAGGAGAGGTGGAGGGAAGAAACAGCAGTACTCTGATCTTCCCAGTAAATGGCTGCACATGGAGGCATGTATGCACAAGTCTTGGCCATTAGAGGACAGGCAGGCTGGTCTCCTACCACAGCCAGAAAGCTGACCACACAGACAGATTAGCTCTCATGCCTAGTGTGGTCAGTTTGAAATAGGAAAGCAGGGGGGGGGACTAGCAAAAACACCAGGTATTTTACACAAAAGGAAGCAATACAAAGAACAGGATACTTTGTAACACAAGTACATGGTACAACATCAGGGCTGTGGAGTCGTGGAGTCGGAGGAAATTTTGGGTACCTGGAGTCGGAGTCGGCAAACAATGCTCCGACTCCGATTAAATTTAGATTGGAATTTAAAAAAAAAGCAAGTTTAAATGTCCCAATTCACAAAAAGTTATAATTAATGACTTCTCTACTGTAAGAATAAAGACCAGTGCATGCAGTGCCTCACGTAACCGCAAAACGAACACGTTAAGTGACCGTGAAGAAGCATGCTTTTCATGTGCTTCACTGTATGGCACGCAACGCACAATTAGGAGCAGCAATACTTCTACTTTCCATAGTGTTGTGTTCTGCTGTTACAGGGAACGCAGCGCCCATGGGTAACCTAGCCTCTCACTGATAAGGGATTAAGTAAATATATTTTTTGCAGGACTAGAGACCCTTGTATAAGTGAAAGGAATGGAGGGTCAATAGTTCAAGACTGAAGCTGTAAACCATTGGAAAAGCTGCTGTCATTTAGCGAAGACTATAAAAACTTTTAAACTCCGATTGTTAGCTTAAACTTTTAAACATGACTATGGGATTCTACTAGGGAAATCATGTTTTATAATAAATGCCCCTTCCTGGATCCTCCCACTGCCCTATCTTCAGCAGCAGATCAGCACACAAAAAGGAGAAGGTAGCAGCTTCTGCCCAACCACCTCTCTCTGCTAGAAGAGCTTAGAAGAACTTGGTGGAACAGCTTCTTGGATTCAACTGTAAGTGTTTATAATTATTTTAAAACCTGCATGCCTGCTTGCATATTAATACAGAGGAGTCGGAGTCGGGGAGTCGGAATCGGAGGTACACAAAACTGAGGAGTCGGAGTGTCGGAATCAGAGGTACACAAAACTGAGGAGTCGGAGTCACACAAAACTGAGGAGTCGGAGTGTCGGAATCAGAGGTACACAAAACGGAGGAGTCGGAGTCACACAAAACTGAGGAGTCGGAGTGTCGGAATTGGAGGTACACAAAACTGAGGAGTCGGAGAGTCGGAGTTACACAAAACTGAGGAGTCGGAGTGTCGGAATCGGAGGTACACAAAACTGAGGAGTCGGAGAGTCGGAGTTACACAAAACTGAGGAGTCGGAGAGTCGGAGTTACACAAAACTGAGGAGTCGGAGTGTCGGAATCGGAGGTACACAAAACTGAGGAGTCGGAGATAGAGTCGGAGTTACACAAAACTGAGGAGATCGGAGTGTCGGAATCGGAGGTACACAAAACGGAGGAGTCGGAGTCACACAAAACTGAGGAGTCGGAGTGTCGGAATCGGAGGTACACAAAACTGAGGAGTCGGAGAGTCGGAGTTACACAAAACTGAGGAGTCGGAAGTACAAAACTGAGGAGTCGGAGTCAGAACATTTATCTACCGACTCCACAGCCCTGTACAACATACACAGATCATATGAAATATTGGGTTAACATCTTCTTAAGGACATGAAGGAAATACTACAGAGCTCAGATCTGAAAGGAGAGAGAGACTACAGTAATAGCTGCACGCTTGTGTTGTGAATGACATCTGCTGCAGGCCATCCCAGTCACTACTAAAAACACAAAACAAGCCAGCAGCTATTACTCTAGTCTCTCTTCCTACAATAGTAGTGGAACAGGGCTGGGCTGCATTGCCTAAGAGCCCGTTCACATTAGAATGCAGGTTTCCCACACTGAATTCAAATGATCTGCACAAGGTGTCAGTGCAATATTAAATGACACCAAACATGCAGTGCGTTTGCATGCACCAGATCGCAAGGTACAAAAGTACTGTGCAATTTGGTTGCAGTGTGTTTCCAAAAGTAGTGGATGCAATCCGCACAAAAAAAAAACAAAAAAAAAGGACTTACCATCCAGTAAATCTCGAATTTTGTCCAAATAAATTTCAAAGTAGGAGACCTATCAGAGGACAAAATAAAAACTTGAATTCAGCCGATTGAGAGGGAAACAAAATCTTAACCTGAGCAATGCAACAAAATAAATCTGACATATAAATTGTGCATGAAATGTATATTTTATGCTCATCTAGGCTGGTGAATGCACCGAAAAGGAAAGCTATGAGACAGGCTGTGTGTGATAATTTAAGTGCTTATATTTATATCAAGTCTATTCCACATTGTACTTGTCATCTATATAAGTATGAATAAATTTTGTGAACAAAAAAAAGGTAAATCTGGTGTTACAAAACAAAAATTAGGCCAAATTTAAAAAGATATTTTAACTTGCATTTTAATTATCATTCTATTAATGCAAAGACAACAGGTCCATCTCTGTAGCCCTTAGGGCCATTCCACACTTATGCACATTTTGGGGCACATCAACACACATGGCATTGTCTATTAATTGTCAAAGCAATCTCAATGTGCCAACAGAAAAAAAAAAAATATAGAAGTTTTTTTTTTTTTCCAGAGCACAGAAAGGCAGTCCTATGTTCTAGAACACATGACTTGTTTTGCACTGGTGGCAAGCCATGTTGGCTTTGGCCATGTATGCACATTGGGGTGCCATTGAAATTTTCTGCCATTGTACAACCACTGTGCATTGTTGTACCACATGTTACAGCGCCCTAGAACATGCATGTGAAAGTATGACGGGGCACTAACGTTCGAACAGCCCACAAGAAAAGATTCAGGTATTTAAAATGAGAACCTCTCTAAAGCCAAAAGGAAAACAAAATGTGAGCAACAATCCCATAGGTGGAGTAGAGCTACCCTTTTGATTGTGTTCCAGGATATTTTGGCACATACAGCCAAACGTAGCATAGGCAGCCCAGTGACTGCTCACATACCTACATCTGGATGATACAAAAAAGTAATTGACAGTTCAGCATGAAAACACTGCTCAATGTAGTTCCTGTAGGATTCAGTCACTGTGAGCCCTAAGAATATGCATGGTGGACTATACATTACAGTATTAAAAAAATAAATTACCATGAAAAGGAAGTATAACCAGTTCCATAATTACTCCCAATACATAGGGGGGTCAGAGGAGGGTAGTGCATCAACAGAGTATTATTTCTATGGTTTCATTTTACTTGTGATTACTTAAAGGGGAACTTCACTCTCCCAATCAATATTGACCATTTTTTATCCTTATGCTGTTAGAATTAGTAAATAGATAGGAAAGTATATTATATTTACTTGTTTTTTTTTTTTTTTTTTTTTTAATTTCTTCAGTTACTTCCCCAATTTCCAGGCCTAGGTAAATGTCATACATCCCCAGAATTCTTCAAGAGCGAGGAGAGTTATTCTCAGCTAAGCAGACCCGCCTGAAAACATGACTGAGCTAAGGGCAGATGGATTCCAGTAATTAAATGGTACATGAATCATCTGCCCTTACACAAGAAATGCTAAAGTGGCTGTTTTCAAAGTGATTTCTCAGCAAAATAAAGCATAGAGACATGGATGGATGGGGTGAAATAGCTTTGAATATAAAAAAATGAATGCAATAGAATTATAGTTTGTGGTGCTCAGATGCAGCATAGTTTCACTTTAGGAAAATACACTATATACCAAGGGTAGGCAACCTTAAAGAGGTTGAGATCTACCTGAACAACATGGGAGAAGTCAAAGATCCCCAGGCATACTGTTGCCTCCTCACACCTGATTAAACCTCTAATTGCTGTACCACCATGAGTGATATGGTACATGTCATGTGTTGGCATGCAGTGCATGGCAATCATGGGTTTTACCACTCCCCAAACTGAAAATGAACCCTTACTGTTCTGAGCCCCCCCATAAGGCTGCTTTCACCGTGGGTACAGCGCAGTGCAGCTGTGACTTTCCTGAATTACCTGCGCTTTGCCATAAATGTTTATTATATCCTGCAGGTGTAGTGCACTTTCTGAAAGTGCACAAAAACTCCTGTATTTAGGCACTTTCAGAAAGTGCACCAAACCCACAGGATATAACAGAAGTCTATGGCTAAGCACAGCTAACCCGCAGGAAAGCTGCAGGTACACTGCACTATACCTTTGGTGTGGATAAGCCGCAGCACATCAGTGTGAAAGCAGCCCTGTTCTATTATGTTCAGTGTATTGCTTCACACTAACCTGAAGATCTCTTTTTCCTGCTGCTGGCTGGCACCACTCTGGAGACTACTAGTCGGGATAGGAGGTGGTACAGTTGGTATCACTCTACATGGGACAGGAGCCGTCACTACAGAGGAGGCATCCGCTTATACGGTTCTTGCTCCCTACTACAGCTCAAATGTTATAAGTAGTCCCTCTGTATTGCACTCTGTTTGATGCTCTCTGGGGGTGGGGGGGGGGGGTCAGCAAGCCCAGACCACGATCTACCAGTCATCTGGCTGCGGTCTACTGGTTGCTGACCCCCGCTATATACCAACACTAAAACCCCTTCTTGACACACCAAGTGGCCCGCCTCAACCCCTTACCTTTATATGGAATTCTAAGTTTTCATCCATAGAATAAATATGATCAAATATGTCCTGGGCAATTCTTGGAATGATTCCCATGAGCTGATGGTCATGCAGCTTTCCCTGAGGACAAAACATAGCAGACAATTAGTTACATGTCATTTACTTTCACTGTGCTCATAGATGCATGAGATATTTACCCCATCTTCAAAATTAGCGTAGAATAGTATTTTTATATTCATTATTATCCATGTTCATTTTTTTTCTCCAATTCTGGTGGTAATGGATAGCTGTTCTTTCACCTCTGTGCCTCTGCAGTAGAACTTCATAAACTTCTGAGGCCTTCTCCCAAGAAGCACCTGTTTTGGTCCCATGGAGGTCTGGGGGGGGTTCTACTACACAGACGTAGCCAGGCGGAAGAGGATTATGACCAGAGAAACTAAAAATTCCTGCAGATCATGGTCTTTCAATACAGGAGGGTACACAACAGTGGCAGTGGAGGGGGGCTTTAGTTTAGGACACAGAGTGGGCTAAAGAATAACTATACTACCTATATGAGAGTTTAGTTATCCTTTATTAGTATAGAACTTAAAAGAAGAATTCCAGGTATGAATATTTTACATTGTCACAGTCCAGTTTAGACCAATGTAGCTATGAACATACCATACCTGTGGGATCACTGTGAAGCTAGAAATTACTGTCTAGAAACTGCTACCACAGTGATCTCTACTAGCTTCTGGGTCCCATTGGCCATGAAGCTAGTGGGTTGGCAAAGGTGCCATTAGGAATACATTTTGCATTTTCTCAATGGATGCAAAATGTTCTCTGATTGGACAGGGTGCAGGGGTGGGGCAGTGATGTCACTTTGCATCCATTAAGAAAATGCAAAGTAGGGATGCACCGATACAGTTATTGGTGCCGATACCGAGTACTTTCATGAGTACTCGTACAAATACTACCAATACTTTTGTGGTGCGATTTGCGTTAATGAACGCAAATTGCACCGCAAATATTAGCATGGGATTTGAACAGGAATGAGATTCCTGTCCAAATTGCACACGGTTTCCCCACTACTATGTGAACCCAGGCTTGAAATAGCCTGATTTCACACAGGAATGGTGCGGCCAGCAACTGACCAATCAGATGCCATCTAGCCCAAAATAGAAAGGAAAAAAAAAAAAAAAAAAAAAAAAAAAATCGGTGGGGATTTCAGCATGGGATGCCTGCAGGTTTCAAGCACTGCTCCTGCGTGAACTCAGGCTGTGACAAGCTTGGGTTCATACAAGAGCAGTGGTGAAACTGCATGTGATTTGGACAGGAATCGCATGCTATTCTTTGCAGTGCAATTTGCGTCCATTAACGCAAATCGCACCGCAAAGTATTGGTACTCAGCATCGTTGAGTACTTGACTGAAAGTATTCGTACTCGCCGATAAAAAAAAAAAAAAAAAAAAAAAAACAAAAAAAAACACAAACAGTATCGGTGCATCCCTAATGGCACCTGTGCTAAGCAAGCTACCTCTTATGTTTAGTAAGCAGCAGGGCAGACCCAGAAGCTAGTGGAGATCACTGTAGTAGAGGTGCCCACTGCCGAGATATCCCATTCATACAATAATCTCACAGGCATGGTATATGCATAGCTTACAGCGCAACTACAGTATGTAAAAATATACAGTATTGTGCAAAAGCTATAAGCAGGTTTGAAGATATGCTGTAAAGTAAGAATGGTTTTAAAAAAAAAAAAAAAGTGTGTAATATATATATATATATATATATATATATATATATATATATATATATATATATATATTTATTTATATTATAGATAAATTTTATTTTTAGCAATTCACAAAATGCACAGTGGATGAACAGAAAAAAAACCTAAACTCAAAATCAATAGTGGTGTGTCTATCCTTTGGCTTCAAAACCAGCTTTAATTCAATTTATCAAGCTCTTTTGAAAAAGCACAAAGAAACGGGCAATGTTGAGGACTGTAGATGCATTGGTCGGCCAAGGAAAGTTGAAGCAGCAGATAGAAGACAAATCATATTTATTCCCCGTCGACATTTGAGGAGGTCTAACAGTGCCATCAGCACAGAACTGGCTGAATCCAGTGGGATCCAGGTACACTCATCTACTGTCTGGAGAAGTCTGGCCTAGAAGTGGTCTTCTGGAAGAATTGCGGCCAAAAAGCCACACCTCTGACGTGGAAACAAGGCTAAGCGATTCGACTATGTACCAAAAAACATAGGAACCTGGGTGCAGAAAAATGGCAAATAATAAGAGTCTGCAGGCAACAGTGAAGCATGGTGGAGGTTCCTGGCAAGTTTGGGACTACATTTATGCAAATAGGGTTGGAGATGTGGCCAGGATCAATGGTGTCCTCAATGCTGAGAAATACAAGTAGATACTTCAACATGCCATACCATCAGGGAGGCTTGCGAGTCACCCCAAATATTTTGGAACAACCCCAAACATACAGCCAATGTCTTTTAAGAACTATCTTCAACATAAAAGGGCAAAAGAGTCCTGGAATTGATGGTTTGGCCCCCACAGAGCCCCAATTTCATCATCATGGAGTCTGTCTGGGATTACATGAAGAGAGAAGGATTTGAGGCAGCCTACACCCACAGTAGATCTGTGGTTCATTCTCCAAGATGTTTGGAAAAACCTACCTGCCGAGTTCCTTCAAAAACTGTGCAAGTGTACCTAGAAGAATTGATGCTGGTTTGAAGGCAAAGGGTGGTCACGTCAAATATTGATTCGATTTGGCTTTCTCTTCTGTTCATTTATTTTCCAGTTTAATTGACAAAAATAAACTATTAACACTTCTATTTCTGAAAGCATTCTTAAGTTACAGCATTTTTTCACAACTGTCCAAATTTTGCACAGTACTGTCTATATGTAAAATAGATCTTTAATTTAGTATTAAACCCTCACTGTACGCAAAACATTTTCCCCTTTAGCTCCACAATACTAATAAAAATTGCCAAGCTTTTGTATTTGCCCTAAAGACATACAGTACATTTATCTGCTCAATATTTGCACAGCCTATTCTACCCTTGTGGCACTTCCCTGAGCCATCAGATTAGGGAGTGCACACTGTTCCCCTTGATGAAACAACCCGATACCATGGTCAGAGTACAAATAACATGATCTCTAATGGCCAGAACATAATGCACAGCAATGCCACCCAATAGATGGGAATAACCAGGGCCTACATTTTCTTGCAAATCTGTGATGCAGAAACAGTGTGTGCAAAAGGGAAAGGGGGCAGCAACAAAAGAAATACAAGAGTTATGCTGCTAAATATACACACATAACATTCGTTAATGAGGGTTTGATAACACTTTAAAAGGTGCAATTCCAGGCAGCAGGTAGTAGCATCCAGCAAACAATGCACTGAGCTAAAATCAAGTAAAAATATTCATTTAAATTTGCCTTCGTCTGGGTACATTGTAGTCCATTGCAATCACACTGCAGAAGCCATCTAACAGCCTCATTCGGTGAAGCATAATGCCTGGAGTCAATGCTGTGCAATTTCCACTCTACCTGCTCTCCACATCAATCACATTAAAACTTCCAAGGCTGCATTAAATCTGATTGGTGGCTGTGAGGAGCTTGTAAGGACTACCTTTTTCTGTATATTAGAAGCATCAAGGAGCCTGCAGTAAACCTTCCAAGAGCAAAAAAACAAAAAAGTGAAAGGGGTGGACTGGTGCACTACAGTCGTGTCTGGATGAATAATAATCTCCGATACCTTCTATGTATGTCTGTTTAGAGTCAGGATTTTAAATAAAGTGCATCGTTTAAAGTGGAATTCCACCTGAAAAAAATAAAGTCAGCAGGAACAAAAACAGTAGCTGCTGACTTTTAAAATACAGCCACTTTCCTGTCCCTTGGTCCAGCAGTGTCCTCACCATGGCTGGTTCACCGGCCGTCTTCTCTCCCTGGCGCTGACATCTTTAGTGTGGGCACCCGGCTGTGACAACTTGCAGCTTCACAGCTGGGTGCCCACTGCACATGCGTGAGAAGCGCTGCGCGCTTCGTTAATGGCCCCATAGTCTTCTGGGATCTGTCAAGTGTACGGAGGGAGGGGAGGACAACTTCCGCTTCCAATCGCCTAGGCAATCGCAGCGGAAGTGGGAGCGGGTACCTGTCAAAATTCGGGTACCTGCTCCCACCCCCTGCTCCCCAAAGGTGCCAATCCACCTGTCTCGTGTCCCAGAAGACTACGGGAAGGGAGGGAGGAGAGGACAACTTCTGCTTCCGATCGCTTAGGCAATTGCAGCGGAAGTGGGAGCGGGTATCTGTCAAATTAGGGTACCCCCCTTCCCCCCCTGCTCCCCAAAACGTGCCAATCCTTAATGCGGAGTGGGGGACAAAGGCTTAAAGCGGAACTTCCCCTTTTGGGTGGAGCTCCGCTTCAAAGAGAGGGGCTTCAGTCTTTTGAAAATTCTCAGTGACTGGCTTTTAGAAGGATCCAATGGTCACTAAACCAGAAACAAGCATGCAGATCAAGTGTTCTTCACTCTTGCCTCAGTTACTACATGCATGTTCCAAGTCAGTGACTCAAAATACTAAAGCAATAGACTACCAGGCAGGAAGCATTCTCAGGAGATAGTAAGCAATGGCATTCCTCCCCAACACATCAGACTTTAGACAAGCTGCCCACCACTCACATTACGTTTCGATCCAGTGGTGATAGCTCGCTCTTTAAGCTGAGCGAATGCCCTCAAAAAAGGTCCTGACATCTCAGTCCCAGTTCTAGATTGGTCTACTCTCACAGCCAATCAGCAGCCGAAATTTAGTTGTCCCAGCCAGCATGACTAAAAGTAGCATTAAACTGGTGGGGTGCACAGCATACTTGAACTTCATGAAATCCTTTCTTCTGTGTTCTCCTCCAGCATTGTGGAGGCCCAACTGCCCCTCATCCACTCTCTCCCTGCCAATGTCTTGCCCTTCGCCTCTTCTTGTGTCCACCGTCTTCTTGCTACACCTATTGTGCAGGCACTGATGAGGCAACTCCCAAGCACCAGAGTTATTATCATGGCACCCAACTCCATTGATGGCATCTGTGAGATCTGGGGAACATACTGGTGTGTATCAGTAGTGCGCCACAGTCAGTGCACCAAATAAAGAAATTTGCTAGCAGGTAAGCAAGTTGTTTTTTTTTTGGCAAAAGGAGACTTCTAAAGTCTCTTCTACCAAAAGACCCTACTTGTGTTTAATTCCTCTAATGCAAACATTCTAAACTTTAAGAAGTCAAAGTCTTGCCTAAAAGCAGACACACCGGGATGGATTTACTAAAATGGGAGAGTACAAAATCTGATGCATCTGTGCATGGTAGCCAATCAGCTTCAGCTTTGTTCAATTAGGCTTAGGCCCCAGTTCACACCAGTGTTACTTGTCATGCATTTGACAGTTCCAAATCCATTCCATTGGAATTGTCAGCAATGGAACCATTCAAATCAGTGTGTGACTCCACCGGAGTCGCACGGATTTTGAAAACAGTTCCTGCACTATTAGCGGCGATTTCAGGTGTGGCTTGCATAGACATCTGTGCAGGAAGTCCTGCAGATGTCAGGCAAGTCGAACCTAAAATCACACTGACCTGCGGCTTTGAAATCGCGCTACTTCAAGCGAAGTAACGCAATTTCAAAGTCGAATTCAGTTTGAACTAAGGCTAAAACCTGGAAGATTTGTTTTTATGTAGAGCTTCACCAGATGTTACACTCTCCAGTTCTAGTAAATCAACCTCACCAAGTATCTGCAATTTGTTAAATTTGCCCCTCAATCACTAGTTTCATGTTGTTACTCAGGGCAGGTCTTCCACTGGATTTGGGGCCAAGCCATATCTTAGAGCCAATATAATGCTTTTCAGGCTGGTTTAAAATGAAAAGGCTTGTGTTTACAGGACCTGCGGAGAGACTGCCACATGCAGCATCAGTGGGATAATGAGCCGAACACCGTTCTAGAGCAACTGCTAACATCACAGCAATCACAGGACCATCATGGATTCCATTGTATTACCTCCATTGTGTGAGTCTTTCCAGAAGAGGTCTGTCCATATGCAAAAATGGTTCCATTGTATCCATCCAAAACATCTTAAAAAGAAGGAAAAACAGATTTAAAGAGGACATGACTCAAGAAAAGATCAATAAAACAGATGTGTCACCTATAAGCCCACAGAGATTTAGATGGACTTTTTAGGTGTAGAAACCAAAGAAAACATCTAGCCAAGCCGTTATACAGACGGAACAGTTTTCCATCCATTGGAAACAATTCTCATGCCACACACTTCAGATCTTTTACCTTGAAGTGTTGCAGTGATGTACAGAACATTGACGGTTCACCACTTTTCATGACCAGCAATTATGGGAGCTCCATGGTGATGTTCACCTATGGTCTCTGCTTTGGACCGCCAATGAACATCACCACCATAAATTTGCAACATCTCAGGTTCTCTCCCCTCAGTAAGCATACTAAAGCAACTTCAGCCACTCCCATTGGAAGCACAATTTCAGCTTTCACCTGAATTGCAGTCATCCAGCACAGGCACAGATTGGGGCAATAATGCTAGTTCAGGGGTGGCGAACAAGTTAGACACAAAGAGCCAAAATTTTAAACTGTGAAAGTCAGAGAGCCACACCACGCAGTGACCTGCCAAAACAGACAAACACTCGCACAAAAACACATAATTAAAACCATATATTATTCACCATAACACTTTCTTCCCTTACAAAACAACAATGTGTTCATTTCAAGGTAAGTGTCCACCCTCAAACACACACATCAAATGCAACTTAGCCAGAGTTAACACATCAACTACCCTGGAGGTTGCTGTGGCACCTGTCTCTCTCTCTCTCTCTCTCCCCCTTCTCTCTCTCACTCTAACACACAAGTATACAAAAAAAAAAAATTCTGAACTAATGGACTGCAGACAGCACAGGGATGACCAGAGACTGCGGACAGCACAGGGATGACCAGAGACTGCGGACAGCACAGGGATGACCAGAGACTGCGGACAGCACAGGGATGACCAGAGACTGCGGACAGCACAGGGATGACCAGAGACTGCGGACAGCACAGGGATGACCAGAGACTGCGGACAGCACAGGGATGACCAGAGACTGCGGACAGCACAGGGATGACCAGAGACTGCGGACAGCACAGGGATGACCAGAGACTGCGGACAGCACAGGGATGACCAGAGACTGCGGACAGCACAGATGACTGCTGACCTTTGGGGAGGTGGGGAGCGGGTACCTGATTTTGACAGGTACCCGCTCTTACTTCCGCAGAGTTTTTTGTTTGATCTTACCTGTTCCTCGATCCAGCCGCGCGCTGTCTTCCCGGCTTCTGTAATGGCGCTCGGCATGACAGCCGGGTGCCCAGTGCGCATGAGCGAGAAGCACTTGCGCTTTGTGATTGGTCCGGCGGCTTCTGGGATCTGTCATGTGTCCCAGGTACCGCCTTACCATTCACAAAAAGCACTGCTTCTTGCGCAAGCGCACTTGGCACCCGGCTGTCATGCCCAGTGCCCACACTACAGAAGCCGGGGAAGACAGCACGCCGCTGGATAGAGGAACAGGTAAAAATAAGAGAAACATGAAACTTGGCAAAGAGCCACAGTATACAAAATATGATAAGAGGCAAAGAGCCGCATTCATTTTGGCCGGGAGCTGCACGCGGCTCGAGAGCCGCGTGTTCGCCACCCCTGTGCTAGTTCAACAGGAAAATGCAATTGTTTAGCTAACCAATGTGTGTCTATGTGTACAGCTGGCTGCAAGAAACGTAGCACAGAAATACAGTGATCCTGCCCAGGGTTTGTCTTATCTCAATATTGTTTAATACACCCCACTATGTATACTCCTCTGACAGTGTTCTTCCATGTGCTGGTATAACATGTAAGACATGGGGGGGGGGGGGATTTACTAAAACTGGAGCACTCAGAATCTGCAGTAGCTGTGCATGGTAGCCAATCAGCTTCAAACTGCAGCTTGTTCAGTTAAACTTTGACAATAAAACTTAAAGCGGATTGGTTTCTATGCAGAGCTGCACCGGATTTTGCACCATGCATGTTTTAGTAAATAAGGGCTCATGTACACTGCAGCCGATAAAATGACGTTCAGGAGCTTTTCTGTGTTTTTTTTCAGCAGCCCCTGAACTCTCCCTAATGTTTTCCTATGTGTCCATGTACACATCGTCGTTTACAGGCAGTTGAGTTTACAGTTGTTTTTTTGAACGCACCAAACTTGCATTCAGTAGATTTTATCAGCGTTTAAAACACCAAACGCTTGTAAATGCAGCTAACTGCGTTTATAAGCGCTTTTTAACTGTTCCATATCCAAATGCTGTCCAGAGCCTCTTTTCATCATCACAAATGCACGCAAAAGCGTTTTCCATGTATTCAAATGGACCTAGCACACCAGCGCAGTCAGTTCCAGGTTTTGTGTGAAGGAAAAAATGGTAGAACGTGCCGCATTATACTCATGATGGGATCCATAGTGAATACAACCAGAAAAAGACAGGTCATCTCAACACATACTGTTCTCTCTGCTGCTTCTGCTCTCTCCATTTCTCTCAAAATGTCTGAAATCGTTAATGTTTTACTGTTTTTTACTGTTTTGCAGTGCATTCTGGGCATTTTGGAATGTCTCCTGATGTTATCTTTAAAAAACGCTTCTAAACGCAAACACTCATAAATGCGATATGCAAACGCCCCATGGTCTGCAAATCTATGTGCTATGGAAAGTGCACCAAAGTGTGCCATGGTGCAGACATACTGGAAGTCTTCAGCTACCTTCTAAAAGCTTGGTGTTGGTGTATCTTTAATGAGAAGGATTGCCTCCAGGTGAGCCTACTCTCTATTTGTGCATTGCTATATATGTCCCATAGCTGGAAACTCTGATAGTTTAGAGTTAGGGACCACGCATTGTTGAGAAGCCTTGATGTGGTAGAATGGCTTCAAAATGTATTTGCAAACAAAAACCCTTTTGTGTTTTTTTTACCCAAGTAATTTAGGTGGATTTTATTATTTTGCTGGCTAGCCTGCGGGTGTGCTGAGAACCCTCTTTATTATTATACAGTATTTATAAAGCGCCAATAGTTCGCTCAGCGCTGTACATTACAAAGGGGGACAGAACATGTGACAGAACAATACCAATACAATGCAAAACATGAGGGGATTGAGGGCCCTGCTCTTTCAAGCTTACAATCTAGGAGTTTTATATATTGCCCTGCCCACATGCACCTTTCCCTTTTTTTCTGGTTTCAAATAGTTAAAAGTGGCTGCCATATTTTTTTTTATGTGGCGCAGGCACGCACTGAAAGTCTTCAGCTGCCTTCCGAAGGTGATGTCTGGGCTTCTGTACTGCTGTATCTTTAAAAAAGGAGGAAGGAGTTCCCTTCAGGTAGGCCTGCCCTCTGTTTGTGCATTGCTATATATGCATGTCCCATAGCTGGAAACTCAGTTTGGAGCTCTACACTGGTGCCCTTACGTGGCAGTGTGGCTTCCAAAGGTTTTTGGAACTAAAACCCCTTTTTAACCCGAGTAGTTGAAACAGATTAATTCGTTTTTTTTTTTTTTTTCCAATAGCTAGCTGAAGGTGTGCTTGGGAACCCTTCACATTGCCTCATTGACTGGTTGGCATGGTGAAAGATGGGTGTTCCTAAAGGACATAATTTACTGTAACACACCTTTTCACATCTGTCATTAACGTCCCTTGTGGTTCTTGAATTTTGGTCACATGACATCACAAAACTGCAAAGGATGATGGTCCATGAAGACTTCCCTCTGCCAGATGCTGCGATTACATGTAGCTATAGAATGCCCAGCATGTGTCATTGGCCCCAGGTCTCATTGATCAGTGTCTGGTGAAGTATTGACACGTAGGACCACCAGTCTAACCGATTCCCAGTGTGGAAATCCCCTTGCTGCCCAGCCTTCTTCTGACTCTCCATACAGAGTTCATTCATGAAGGGCCAATCACCAGGCCCGGGTACCCTAACAAGCCGTACATGGGTGGCCTTGTCGGAAAAAGCCAACTTTAAGGGCCAATGCCGGCAGACTTGTTTGCTTCAAGCAAGTTTTGCATTCCCATACAAGTCGATGAGAATGCTGCTTGAAACAGGTGAAAAGCAATTCATAAGGAGGTTAGCTGTACATCAAATGCACCTGTCAATTATCCTGAATAATCTCAAAAGCAACTCAAATGGGTGACATCAAAATACAAGTCCACAGCCCATCAATAGAGGCCAAAAAAAAAAAAAAAAAAAAGTCATGGAGTCCCTTTTTATGTACCAACCAGTGCTGGAAGAACAAAAGTTGAACTTTTCCATTCAACTTGTATTGTTGTGGACTGTATCATGTATACAACAGACGCTCACAGCCACCAATTCCCCAGGCTCCAATTCGCTTTTTCTCTTCCTTTTGTCATTTTTATGTGGGAATCTATAATGAAACATTTATATGCAGACTCCTTCTACCTCCTCCTCACAAACGCCTTCCTGCAGCACCTCCCTAGCTCCTGACACCAGCAAGCCGCCATGTATTCATCACTCTGAGCTGCTGCAGGAGAGATGGTTTCTGGCTGAGCAGAATGTCAATCATGGGAGACATAAAAGGGGGGGGGCTGGGGAGTCGAACTGTGATTACCAATGACTGTTGGCAAGGCCTGTAATTGCTGGCAACCAATTTAAACCAGGAGAGGTTTTTGATAACAGAATGCATTAGAGTGCTGAAAATCTGGAGAGTTTTTCTAAAATGGTGAAAATGCTTTCATTATCCTGAAGAAAGACCATTCCAGAACAAGGTGACATACTGGAACCAGATGAAGGAAAATCTGCAGTTTTTCTATTTTAAAGAGACACTCTTACCCAAAGAAATGGAAACATATTTATGATTAAATGCAGGAGATACCAGGCAAGCAGGGGAAGAGAGAGCGAGAGCGTGCACACGAGGGCAAGCAGGGGAAGAGAGTGCGCTCGCACGCGCACACACACGAGGACGAGCAGGGGAAGAGAGAGTGAGCGTGCACACGAGGGCAAGCAGGGGGAAGAGAGAGCACGCTCACACGAGGGCGAGCAGGGGAAGAGAGACACA